AATAGTAAAAATTTTTTGATATATTATTTGGGATTAAAATCAGGCTAGAATGGTTATATTAAACAGTATAATTCTTGGTATCAGACAGGCTAATTCCTTAACATCATCTAGAAATGAGTCAAAAGGCGCTAGAAGTTTGAATAAATAGAAATGAAATATATAGCAAACTGGACTTGTAGGGGGGATTTGAGTACAAAGGGGCATTCATCAAAATCTGTCCCAGATCTCTCAAAATGCCTGATATCGAGATATAGGTTGCACTGTAACTATTTACCTTAAATTAGAATGTAACTGACTTTTACATTATCATCCATTAGAAATTAACATAAAATTCACACATAATCATATTGTTAGCTCAGCAGAATCTTTAAGTTTTCGATTAGTTAAAAAGAAGATTCGTGAAAAATTTTTAAATTTGTTTAAAAACAGACATTCTACTTCATCAGCATTGTACGTTCATGAGGATGAACTCCACTTTAATGCTACTAATGATCAGGAATTATTAAAATTACTTGCAGATAAGGCTAATAATCTGAATTATAGTTATATCTTTAACCTTTTTAATAATATTATAAGACTGCGCTTGACAGTTATAATGGTAAACAAATGTTTGAACATTTAGCAAAAGTTATTAAAGATTACAACTAGGAAACAGTGAACTGTTATATAGTCTGGAATTAAGATTTTAATCATGTGACAAGTAAAGTTTACAAGTCAGTATATATTATATGAGGCAGATAGTAAGTTTGTTATTCAACATATTCAGTCTTAAAGAAAAAATGATTTACTTCAAAACTTCGAATAATTAATTAGATATTAATCTAAAATAATAAATAGAATGTATGATTTATTTGCAATTAATTAATACAAATCCATTGTTAATATTCAAATGTTAACTGTTATTGCATAATTGTTAGGTTTTGTGTAATGCAATGTGCAAAAAATACTTTTTTTTTGTACAGTGTTTTTTCTTTCATGTAAATAGTTGTCTGTATATATCAAACTTTATTCTAATAAAGATTCTAATAAAGATTTAATTTAATTAATATATTAAGTGTTAATTCTATAAAAAAAAATTGATTTATGCATTTAAAATGAAAAAATGAAATATTAATTCTGAGACAGTCTGAAAGAAAAGTAGTCAAAATAAAGAGACAGACAAATAATGAGAAGCTTGATTGACTCATAATCGAGAAAGAAAGCACAAAAGAATAGCAGATGAATCAGTGGAAGATCGTGAAGTACAACTTACAAAAGATCAAAGTAATAGAAAGCAAAGAAACTTAACTGAAATCACTGATAAACGTGAGATACGTCTTGACTGTCAGAATAAGCTAAAACGTGATATGAGCTTTCGTAATATTCAAAGAAATGAACACAAATCTGCAAAGAATATCAATAAGAATATACATGAAATCTTGCAAAAATTTCACCACAAAGTTGATAATATTTAATATAAATTCTGTTCTGTATGTAAAGAACAAATTCCATTGATTTTAATAGTTCATAATGTGTGCTGTAGATGCTATATAGAAAAGATATTACCTAAGAAGTTTTCTGAAGGAGACAGAGAAAATATATGGATCCTGGTGACATGTTGGATGAGCTTAAAGGGTTAATAGAAATTGAAGAGATGTTTATTGCATAAGTATTTATTGTTATGATAGTATATCGGCTTCAAGGTAAACAAAATAGATATAAAGGGAATATCATTAACTTTTCTCAAGACATTCAAGAATTCACAAATTGGCTTCCACGGCATCCATCATCTTTAGATGTGCTCATAATACGTCGTCAATCAGAAAACAATTCAACATCTTTTAGAGATTTCATTGTATGTCGAAGTAAAATTGGTAATGCTCTGTTGTGGCTAAAAGAAAACAATCAGTATTATGAAAACATAATCATTAATCAGAAATACTTAATTTCTTATCTGAAAACAACTCAATCACAAAAATGCTTCCACAGCTGCAGAACAGTCAATTAATAGACAAGATTTTGGCAGCTAAAGAAAGTGAATTAAACAAAATAACACGTAATTTATACCTTTATATACTTCAACACATAGGGAAAATGTTACCATTAATGATACTCTCAATCGCATACAAAGCAATAATACGTCTTTATTGTGACCAGAGATAAAAGGTGTTTCTATCAATGAGTTTCAATTGTCCAGTTACATAGCAAGAGCATTTCCGACACTTTATCTATATAGAAAAGCTGGTTTTCACTCTGTATGATCTTGAAAAATCAAACTAGCTAAGTATTTTAAGTATTTAATGTGATACAAAGATGAAAGATTCGTAAGATACCCTCAATAGCGGTATTTTATATTAAACTCTATTATAAGATGGAGGACTCTACAAGAAGAAAAAGTTTACGTTAGAAGAACTTGAATAATGAATAGATCAATATCACAAATATACAGGAAATGATTGCATAAGGTGACAAAAACTTGGCAGATAAAATCACAAGATATGGTGAAGGTTACGAGGTTTGTGACAATTCTGAATGACACAAAAATATGAATTGTCAGATTTTATTAAACAAATCAATCACCAAGGATTAATCTTTTTTACTTTTAGTATGGCAGACCTTCACTGGCTGGAACTTCATAAGTTAATGGCAGATAAAGGAAATTCAGAAAATTCTGCAAGTAAATGTCAACAGAATTTGGTTGATAATCTGCATATAGCCACTTGGTTCTTTAATAAACAATTCGAGTGGTTTTTTAAAGATGTGTTAATAAAACAATAGGACCTCAAAGACTATTGATACCATTTTGAGTGGCAATATAGGGAAACTGTATACATACACAAAATAGGCAAGATTAAAAATACACTCATAATCGATTGGGATGACCTAAAATCAAATGAAAACGAGATGGAAAAAGTAACACAATATATTGATTCAATAGTTTCACAATTAACCCAAATATGAATGCAGCTATATCTGAAATGCATCCATGCCAAAAAGGTGTAGGTGAAATTGATTATAGTCAGCAGGATTATATCGAATTGATCAACAAGCTATAATGACATATGCGTTGCAGTCAGTTATATTGCCTTTGCGTGAACTATTAAACAGGGTAAGAATCATGTCATTTTGGTTACCCAAAATACTATTCAGATTGAACACTAATACAAGAGGACAATAAGAGTCAACCAGAACTCATCACCGCACGTAATGATCTATTAATCAATCCTCACAATCAGTTATAATTCTAAGACTGGCAGATGAATGTAAATATAAAATCAATCATTAGTATCCACGCGGCTTTACAGTTTATTGCTAAATATACTAGTAAAGGGGAGCTAAAGTCAATCGCTTTTTCAGAAATTTTTAATGAAATTTTTAATGACAGTGATCCAAATGATAAATCACTTATGTCAATACAAAAATTGTTGCTTAGAAGCATTGCAGAACAGGATATATCAGCATAAGAGACATGTCATCTTCTATTAGGTATCCCACTTTACCATTCCAGCTACTCATTTGTTTCATTAAACATTAACGAGGATTCAGCAAGGTGGGTTCAGGGTTCAGATAGAGAAGGCAATGGAAAAGAAGGATGTATAACAAAATCAGTTATAAAACGTTATTGGAAAAGACCTCAGGATCTTAAAGCTTTTTCATTATTCAAACTGAGTTTAACTCATAGATTTAATAATGGATAATAGAAAAGATTCATAAAGGAAAATATTGTTCACATATAGTCACAACCGTTATTTTTTCATAATAGAGAACATTGGAAAGATTTCTGTCGTGTAAAGGTTCTTCTTCATGTTAAGCATTGTAGTCTTCAGCAATTCAAAGAAGATAATGACATCACTTAGTCATCACTTTATGATCAATATATTGATGAGATTAATGGTGATCCGGCTGATTTACTTGGACCAGCCATAGATAATAAAGAAAAGATTCAAGATGAAAAAAATGAAGATGACTTCATTAAAGACAACGATAAAGAATTTAGGTACGATTAGATACATCTTGCCAAAATGAGACCAAGGGCAGTAATAACATATTCATCTGACTTGGGATCTCAAAATATAATAGGACCTATGATTGGGTCAATGATACTCAGCAACGGTATTTCTCCTCTAACATAGAAAAAGCATGGGACTATGTCAACGAAACCTCAAATAATAGCACAGACAATCTAGAAAATGATGATAATTCAGTTGATTATGAGCATCTAAATGAAAAACAAAAAATTTTTTTCAAAAGAATTGAATATCATTATAATAACATACTCATAGGTAATTTGGTTAAACCATTAAGAATAGTAATTATAGACACGATAGGCTAGTTCAAAGTTGATCGATCGGCATTTTGATCATAAAAATTAATATCCAATTAAATTTGTGATCAAAATTCATAATTGAGATTGTTGATTGCGTGATTGATCATTGAATAGCTTTTTTTTGAACTGTGCGTTCACATTTTTTGAGTTGTTAGTTAAACCATTTAATTTCACTTTTTTTGTTAAAAAATATGTCAGAACATAGAAAGGTAGAAAATTTATTATCTTTTTATATCCTTAAGGCTTATCAAGATATGGAAGATGAAGATTTATTTGAAGGTGAAAATTTATTTGAAGGTGAAGATTCAAGTGAAGAAGAAGATGAAATGGTAATTCTTGGTTTAACTTCATTACTTGAAACACAATATTTTGAGCAAAGAACTCATGTAATAAAATCAAAAGATTGGAGGTGTAATATTTTACCAAATTATGATGATATCAGATTTAAAAAAATAATGAGAATGGATTCTATAAATTTTCAAAAGCTAATATCAGTATTAAATCCTCTTCCAATTTTTCAAAATAATAATAATAATTTACAAGTCTCTGTTAAACTTCAATTTGCAGTTTTTTTAAAAAGAATTGGTTCTAAAGAAAATATTTTTGAAATATGTTCAAGGTTTGGAATTGCTGAAGGAACTGTTTATTTATATTGTAAAAGAATAATGATTGCAATTTCTTCATTAAAAAAATTTTTAGTTAAATGGCCAACAAATGAAACTAAACAAAGAGTACATGAAGGGTTTAAAAATATTGGTGGAATGGAAAATGTAATTGGTGCAATAGATGGAAGTCATATAGTATTAGCAAATGCCCCATTAAAACAACCTGAGTCATATTGGAGTAGGAAAAAAAGATATTCTATACAATTACAAGGAATTGTAGATCATAAAGGCATATTTATAGATTATGAGATTGGGTGGCCTAGTTCAGTTCATGATGCTAAAGTATATAAAAATTCTCATTTTTATCTTAATGCTTCTGAAATTGTTAAAGGTAATGAATTTTTACTTGGAGATTCAGCTTATCCAATATCAACTTTTTTAATTAAACCTTTTACAAATTCTCAAGTTCCTTTACAAATACAATTTAACTTAATTTATTCTTTACATAGAGTAGTAGTTGAAAATTCTTTTGTCAAACTTAAAAATAGATTTATTGCTTTAAAAGATTTAAGTGTTAGAAAGGTTTCTATGGCTGTTAAAATAAATGAATGTGCAATTATTTTGCATAATTTTTTAGAATTAAATAATGATAGTTTAGAAGATTTAGCAGAAAATAATGATGATAATGATGGAAGTGATTATGATAGTGATGAGAATGATGGTGATGAAAGAGTTATATCAAATCTAAATGAAATAGCATTAAATACAAAATTTTATTATTATAAGAATAATTTATAATAATTAAAATGCAGGATCAAACGCGTTATGTTAAGAAGGTAATATGTATAATAATAAATGTTATGTGAATATTATGCGAATATTACGTGAACGTTTTATAAACATTACATGAACATGATCTATAAATGTTATGTGAAAAATTTATTAAATTTTATCTCTTGGATTATTATTATTTTGACCAAATTTAAGTTCTATTTCCTTCATTTTTAATTCAAATTCCATCTTTGCCTTCTCTCTTTCAAATTTCCATTTTTGCTTTTCTACCTTCAATTTATTCATTTCAATAGTATATTTTTTTCTATTTTTTCTCTCACTAATTCAATTTTTTTATCCCATACACTTTCTCTAATTTCACTCATAGTAGAAATTGCAATAGCTATAGAACTTACATTATTTTTTTTTGATTTTTTAGGTAAATTACATTCATTTTTCAAAGATTCTTCATTTTCATTATTAGTAAAACTATTTACTATAAAAGAAGGTGATTTATTTTCACGAGTGTCAAACAAACTATCCATTTTTTTATATCATTCCCAATCTTTTCTTTCTACACCAGATCTTTCATTATAATTTTTAATTTCTGTATAAGTTTTAATCATTCTTGTTAACTTACTTTTAATAGCATTAGGTTCTTTGTTTTGTAACACATTTGTAGACATTTCATTAAATATCTTCATTTTATTTCCTCTTTTATATTTATCAAATTATCAGTAATATGTTGAATTAAAAGATCAATTTCATGATCTTTCCAAGTACAATTTGATTTATCTAAAAAATCTAATTTTCGTTTAATAGCAACTTTTTTTTTGTTAGAAATCTTTGTAACTTTCTAAATATATTTAAAAGTAAATTATTATTAAATAATCTTTGTAATTTAATAAAAAAAAAAGAAATAAAATTAGTAATTTTTTACTTACTTCTAATTCCTCTTTAGAAAAATCAAACTTTTCTTTTTCTTGAGTTAAGTCTATGCTATATAAATTGGCAGATTCTTTCTCAATGTCAATATAATCGACTGTAGAAGTACTTCTTAAAAATTTGTTATAATCATTATATGAATAATTAGGAGCAGCGAAATTTTGATAAGAAAATTAAGGAAAAGCTTTATTTTGTTCTTATTCAAAAGAGCCAGTAGAATACTGCTTTGGGTTTTTATTTGACAAAGTTTTTAAGATATCTCTTGAAAATTCTATGATGAAAAAAACGCGTTAAATACGTGTTATACTTGTCTCCTCAATTATTGGCTAAAAGATTTAACAATTCAATCAAATTGATCATTGAATTTGGTTGATCACAATGATCGACTATTAATCGTCATGAAGTCTAATTTTATTGGTCAGAAATTTGGTGTAACCTGTTCAAACAAGCCGATCGATCAACTTTAAACTAGCCTATTATATATATATTATATCATTTTTTTGCTTGTCATACAAAAGGCTGAATGTTCGATCGATCATAGTTTTGGTTATTCACATTACATGACACTTATGCTACTATACCATTCACCATGTAATCCATAATTCCTATGTTTTCCATCGCAAATAGGGCATAATGAGTTCCATGGTTGAGCCAATGCAAAATTATAATTATCGAAATTTCCTGAGTGGTGATCGATTTAGCAAATACATTCTATACTCATCGCCTTTTTAAAAACATGATTCTCACATGCAATTAATACTATCCATATAATGTTAAGTTGTTATATAAGCTATGTAAAAATTAATTAAAATTAAAGGGTTTTTGATCAATACATTCTTTAAATTTATATATCTACTGAGGAATTATGATTTCTGGATTCTCATCATATCATACTTTAAGAAGATAAATTCCATTAAGCTGACATAATTTCCAAGCAATACTTAAGCAATTAGAATACATTTCTTCTGAAATTTACGATTTTCTTTGATCCTAATTCTTTTCTAAGTTCATCTATATCTTGTTCCAATTTTACAACTCTTGCTCTAAGTTCAGCGTTCTTGGCAATAGTATCTATCCTATTTTTTCTACCTCCTCGATTCTGACCTTAAACTCAGCTTTTTTAGTATCTTGCTTGGTATATTCCTTCCTTTTCTAATTACTCCTAGAAGCTCAATATACATATCCACAATATCAGCTTTCTCAGCCTTAATCTCAACATTCTCAACCTCAAGCTCATTATTACATTGCTTCAATAATTCTTACTCAGTTAACATAGTATAACTAATACACTGTATATGAGAATTCAAAATAAAAAAATAACATGGCGTGAAGATTTTTCACATTAATCACTTTTGTCAAAAAATTTTACGTGACTTTGGAAGAATATTTTTTAGAAAATGATTATTTGTTCACACATTTTAGGACCTTTATTTTAGCATCATTAAGTAAATCTACCACTATTTCTGTAATTATTAGTTGATGTAATATCGCAACTGATATATAGCTTAGCCATCCTTTTTTACCTTGCCAATTAGAATAGATGAAATTAGTTATACGAGTATCTATTTTATTTCTATAATATTCTGCTTTAAAGACGAATCTATCTTGACTGGATACATTATGAAATGCCTTCATATTAAAGAGTTCTCTCATTAAGAAGTGATATGCCTTTTTTCTTGAATCATCATCTTAGTTTTCGAGCTTAATCGAAAGATTAATAAAGTTATCAATCTAAAGCATATTTTTTCGATTATATGATAATACTTTGTAAACTTCATCAACTATTAGACCTTGACAAATAAGTTCTTGCAATTCCGTATTTGTTACTGTCAAACTTTTGGGTTGAGTCTCATTGGCTGATATTGAAGTTATCAATGGTGTAGATTAAATATGTCTTTTATTCTTTTTACGAATTATAATCTTGACTTTGAAGAGTGAATTTAAAATTTCAAAGAAAAAAATGAAGAGACAGACACTGTTCATGGATCAGCAAATTTTTCCAAACTATTGATCACTGCTCCAGACTAGTCAAAGTATCTTAAATGATGAGACGCATTATTACTATAGACATCTTCATCATCTGATTCCATTTCGGAGCCAAAGCTAGAAGATTCTGAATCAGAGTAGTACTCTTCATCAAAATTTTTGATATGAATATTTGGATTTTTAAATTAAGACATGAGCGAGCAATTTCTCTGATAGTCTTACTGGTAATATTACAATATCTGAGTTTGAGATGCATGAGTCTTGAGCAGAAACGTATTATATTACAAATTGATAGTTCATTGATAAATGAACAACCATCTAGCTTAAAATGCTCTAATTTATGACAAGTATGAGCTAACGCTTCAGTAATCTCATCATCAATATCATTACCACTGGTTTTATATGTCTCAAATTCAGAGATCGTTTGATAATAGCTATAATTAATACTTCATTCTGCTAAGCCATAACCCCACTAAAGTTAAGATACTCTATATTAAAACATTTTCGTATTAAAGTACTAGCATCTTTGATATCTTCACGACTAAATGCAATATTAAGTTTTCATAAATTTAAGCATGAGTTTAAGATGCAACTTATAGATCTATCTATGATCTAACGTGCTTCTGCAAAATAAAACTCTTGCAAATTATGACAATTTCCTGCGATTTCAAACAAAGCTTTATTGCTAATATTTCTGCAGTAAAAAATATTTAGATATTCTAATTTATAACATGATCACGCAATTGCATATAAACCTTTATCAGTTATTTGAGCATCCCATAAATTAATATATCTCAAATTAGGATATGATTCCGCTATTACAAATAGGTATTTATTGCTAAAATCTATACTATCTTTGAAATCTAAATGAATTATATTTGGAAATGTTTTCACAATACTTTTATTTTTTTATCTAAAAATGAATGGCAAAAAGTAATTTCTAGATGTGTTGTATTTGAGACATAAGCTGGCTTATGCTTTTTGCACATTACAGTGAACTCTTGATATAATGAATTCTAGAATCTGGATATCAACTTCATTATAAACTTATAACGAATTTTTTAAAGAATTTAATTGGCTAGTTCACTATAGTAAAGGTAATTTTAATATATTTGATTTAAAAATTCACTATATCAAGGGTTCGCTATATCAAGGTTTGACTGTACTTTTACAAATCTTTCCCATCGAGTACGATCTCTTGTACAATAATAATAATCTTCTGAAAAATAATGCTAATATCTTAAGTCATTTTCTTTAGCTCAATGTGTTTCCATAGAATAAAAGCACTGCATCTGTATCACAATCGGGATACAAATAGAGTGGGATATAGTATCTTATCTACTGCTAGGAAATATAGAATCCGCTTTAATAGTTCTGGTATAATAAAAATGCTTGAATGCGTTATAAATAGTTCATGCTGTATCTTTAATCGAAAAAATAAAATTACGCGATTACTGATCTAAATTAGTTAGATCAGTAGAGTTCTACCATTCTACTTGACCGGCTAGTATTCTATCAAAATAATTTCTCAGTAATCGTCTATTTATAGCTATAATGGGATGATCAGCACCAAAGTCAACTGTCATAAACATATTGGAATTAGATTATCAGAATGTCTGGTGAAACTGAGTTCTAATATTAGCAACTGAAGGCTATGTTGATATTAGCTCTATCATTCACTTTATCTCAGCTTGAATATAATTCCGATCCCGATAATTCTTGACATGAGAATTTGGATTTAGCTGATTCATAGCCTTTTTGCTAATTTTATAACACCCTTCCAGATTAAGATATTTTAAATTAAGAATTAAGACATTTGCTAGCAATTTTTTCGATAGCTTTATCAGTAATTTTACAAAAGCTAAGGTTAAAATGCTGGAGCCTTAAGCAAGAATGAATAATATTACAAATTGATATTTTAGTAATATCTATGCGGTAAGAAATATTTAGATATTCTAATTTAGGGTATGACTATGCAATTGCATATAGACCTTTATTAGTTACTATCCCACCATTATGGCTTATATACTTATTCTTTTGCAAATTGAGATACTTTAGATTTGGATATGTTTCTGCTATTCGATTTAGTGTTTTATTGCTAAATCCTGTGCTAAAATTTAAATCTAAATGAACTATATTTAGGAATAAGTGCACAATGTCATTGAATTTTTTATTTAAAAGTGGATAGTAGTGTGAAATTTCTAGATGTATTAGATTTGAGCTAAAACTTGGCTTTGGTCTTCTTTGTGCTATTTTCATAAATTTCTTCAATCAAGTATAATCCTCTCTTTTACCTTTCTTTAGCTCAACACGTTTCCATAAAATAGGAGCACTGCATCTATACCACAATCGGAAAACATATAGAGTGGGATAGAGAGATTTATCTATTGTTAAAAAATGTAAAATCTGTTCTATTAGTTCTGGTTAAGGTTGCTTGTCTAAACTCATTTTGGATTTGGCAAAATGGTAAAACCTTTAGTTTCGCTAAATTTTTACTAAG